AGACGGCATCGGCGGTTTGCCTCTCCGAAGACCCCCCCAAGCCCCTCCCCTCGTCGCCCTCCCGCTCACGTTAGCAGCAGGAACGCGAGCGCCGGCACGTTGCCCCACCACCCCGCCCCGCCCCGCCCCGCCCCGCCAGCCGTCGTCTCCGACTCCGCGAAGCCACCAGCCACGAAGCCACGAGCCGACGCCGCCGCGCCGCCGCGCAACGCCTCCGCCATCCTCGTTGCCGGCGCCGACCACGCCGTCGCGGCGAGCAGCGCGGCGCGTGCGTGGCGCGCGTCGTGCGCCGCGGCGCCGACGACCTCGGCGGCGGCGGCGGACGCGGCGGCGGCAGACGCGGCGGCGGACGCGGCGGAGGGCCGGGCAGCGGAGTTGTTGAAGCAGCGGCGCGAGAAGCAGCGCGGCGGCGGCGGGGCGAGGCCCCCGCTGAGGATGAGGGCGAGGAGGACGAGGAGGACGGCGACGGCGCCTGCGCCGCGCGGCGGCCCCGACGCGGCGGGCACGGCGGGCACGGCGGGCGGCGCGCGCAGACGGGCAGGCGCGTCTGGCGAGACGTCGCCGCCGCGGCGGCGCAGCCGCGCGAGCTTGGAGGACGCCTTTCGCACCTTTGCGAGCCCGGCGGCGGCGGTGGACCCGCCGCCGGCCGCGATGGCCTCGTGCACCTAATACAGACATGCCCTCGACATGTGCACATGCGCATGCACATGACATGTGCATGTGCATGTGCATGTTCTCGATCCGCCGCCGGCCGCGATGGCCCTCGTGCACCTCCCGCCCATCTCACCATCTCCCATGTCTCCCCATATCTCCCCATATCTCGTGCGCTCTCCCGCGCCGTCATGTGGAATCTCGGGGAACTCTCGGGGACTCTCGGAGAATCTCGCACCTCCCGCGCCGTCATCGCCGACTCTGTGGCAGAGCGCACCCTCGCGACCGCCTTCATCACCGCCCCCGTGTCGGGAGACGGCGTCAGCGGCGAGGCGGGCGAGGGCGGCAGCGGCGAGGCGGGCGAGGGCGCGAGCTCGTCGTCGAGGCGCGAGTTGGGCGCGGCCACAGGCGGCGGCTGCGGCTTGTCCGGCGTGCC